GTACACCCCAAGCCAAGGTCAACTATCCTCCCAGGAGGTGCTCAATGGGATCTGAGAGAAAAGAAGGTGGCCATTAAGACAGAGGAAGTGAGGTAGCCCAGGACAGCATGTGGAATGATGTGGCTCTCCCATTCTGAGCATTGTGGCCAGGCTGAGCTTCCTGTCCATGTGACCTTGTGTGTGTCCTATGCAGTATTTAGACCCTTAGTCTACCCACAAGTGGCTGTTTCTTATTGCCCCCAATACAGAGACTTCTGAAACTGCATAGCCTGAGACGAGCCATCACCTGTGACTCTTCACCCTGGGACTCCTACTCAAGGCTTAGATAAGGGAAATTATGCCCAACCTCTGAAACATATTGAGCCTTTAGTATGCATTGAGATATGTCCCTTCAGGACATAGCCTGGCCCAGGCTCTACCCTGAACAGCGTGTAGAAAGGGCTGTCATGAGGAAATGGAAGTCTTGGAGTCTTCCAATGCCTGCCAACACTATACAACTGACATTTGCTGTTGGTTCCATCTATGTGCTAATCTTTCCTGGGATAGCCCTAAACCTACTGTCCACTCTAGAAGTTCAGTATCCTGGGACATGTCTATATCCAACTTAAAGCCAGGTAGCCTGGGAGTTCAGGCGATGATGAGGGTGGTTGGTGGGCAGCCAGTGAGTAGTCTTCCACTCTAGGCTTCCCTTCCTAGGAAGCCTATGTGAGGGATGGATTGGAATCTTTCTAAGTAACTTCCTAGGGAACAATAGCACACACCCCTAGACAGGACTTGGGGCTTACACATCAGAATTTAGTCTGTGAGTGTTATATATGCAAAGACCCAAGGTACCTTAGGTTTTTAGTTCTGAGAAGCCCACTGAGCACTTATTGGTCTGTGGGGAGCTGTCCCCAGGGTGTTACGATAAATCTTTCTGCCAAATGCCGCCTGAGCCCCGCTGCCACGTGTGAGCTTTACGCCAGCCGCCCGCCCGAGTTAGGGCCCAAGTGAATACACAGAAACTTGTATTAGGTTCAAAGCCGCTTGGCCAATGACTAGGACTTCTCATCTGCTAACTCAGTCTTAACTATAATAAACCTATATATTTTATGAGACTTATCTTATCAGACACCTTATTGGCGTCCCTCCTTGCTGGGATCACATCTTGCCGCTGGAGTAGGAGCGGAGGGGAAAAAGGGGGCCCTTCCTGTTTCTACTTCGCTTAAATATGAGTCTCCTTGCTATGTCACTTCCTGCCTGGATCAGCACTTCTCTACTACATTTTCCAGAATTCTCTTTGACTCCTAGTCCCGTCTACTTGTTGTCTCATTGGCCAAACAGTATTTTATTTAACAATCAATAAGATAAACATACACAGTCCATTCCCCATCACCAGGGGGCCTTTGAATGTTGATAGCTTCACTTACAGCCCATGGCCCATGTGCTTGGCCTGCTCACATTCCATTGTCAAAGCCATTTGTTTGGTTTTCTTCCTTTTAATTTGTATGTGCATGTGTGCATGCATGCATGGGTGCACCCATAGAGGCCAAACAAGGGTAGCTGATCCCCTGAAGCTAGAGTCAAAGGCAGCTGTGAGCCACCCATGGCTCATGGGTGTTGGGAAACAAAACTCTGGTCCTCTAGGGGAGCAGCAAGTGATTTTAGTCATGGAGCCATCTCTCCAGCCCCTGGTGTTCTTTCTTAAATCTATTTTAGCCATGGTGAAACACAGGTGCTGACTGTGTCTGTGTGCTTATGTCAGAAGTGTGAAGCTCACTCACAGAATGTAGCTGTTCCCACCTCCAGAACTTTCTTTTTTTAGGCTGAAACTGTTCCCAGCCCCTGGCTTCCCATTTTGCCTCCTGTCTCAGTAACTCTGAGGGTCTCTGAAGAGAAGCATCCTAAAGTGTGTGTCCTCTCATTCCTGCCTTATCGTAGCAAGTGTCCTCAAGGTCTACCCATGCCTAGTGACCTTTTGTGTATGACATTTCTACTAACAACGCTTTCAGGGCACTTCACACTATTATCATGTACTCAGATATAATGACTCAAAATCTCCTGAGATGTTTCCATGTTACCTTCTAGGTCCTGAAAATGTGATGGTGGCTAGGCTGAAGGTCACTCTTTCTGGAACAGACTCTCTGCTATTTGCATGTATAGAGCATAGCCCTTCTCAATGGGATGATGAGGTGTTGAGGGCTGGGGACAGCATCACTATCAGGCCTATGCCAGGGTTCTAGGCCCAGCCCTGGCCTTTCATGGATCAGTTACTGGTCAGAGGCCTGGTATGTATGGAGGACATCTCCGAGTCATAGCCCCAATATACCATAGCTGATCTGTGCATGGCTCCGTCACTGTTCCTTATACCCCTATGCCTCCTGCTGGGACAGCCACGAGGTGCTGGCTGGATGCCGTGCTCTGTGTTCCTAGGGCACCTGGGCACAGAGATATTGAGGTGATGTCCGATAAGGTGTTGGACGTCCCTCAGGGCTGGGCTGCGGTCATGGCTGATGAGTTTGATTTAGAGCGAGTGGAAAAAGCAGGCTATTGTTCCTAAGAACCTCCTGTTTCATACCCTGCACAGTGAACTCTCTTAGGAACATGCTAGTTTGTGTCGAGACACAGGCATATTTCTGGGCCTTAGTTTGCCTTGCTCCTGGTGGGTAAAGTGGAAAGGGCACCTTGTGACAGCCTGACCTTGGGGTTCTGGGGTATGCAGGTAGGGTGAAGGGATGGTGGTGGTTCTATAGAGGCAGGAAGGGGGCGGGTAGTTGGCCTGTGAGCTTCCTAAAGGCAGAGACCCTTGGTGCGGCCTCTCTGAGGCTCCCAGCCCCACCCAGGACAGGAACAAATAAAGTAGCAAATAAGATAATACTCATTTTATCTGGAGTAGATAAAAAATAAACTATGCTGTATAACCCTTTCTCAGGCAGCACAATGTGTTCAAATATTTGAAGAACTGTTTAGCTTTCGGAATACTCGAGGCTAAAAGGCAGCCAGCACGTGGGGGCAGATTACCATCATTGTCCCCAACCTCAAGGTTCCTGGGCAGGTCAGCATGGGCTAGCTGTGGTGGGTGTGTTGCCTAGGCCCTGCTGCTCTCCTGGGTCACTAGGTGCTTTTTTGTCTGCATTTAGCTATTCTGCACCTCTTTCCCAGGATTGGTCTGTGTGTCCAAGGCCTTCCCTACTGCTAGGTGGGGGTAGTCAGAGAGTAGGGGGCCTTCTACACAGTCTCCTTGTTTTGATATCTCCTTCCAGGCTGTTGGAATTTCCACCCGCAGGCTGCAGCTGCTGCCGCCCTCCTGAGGCCCTGAGCCTCCTGCAGATGTGGGCAGAGTGGCCTGTGGCAGCCATCCCTCATTCTGTGGCTTCCTTTCTACACATAAGCTCTCTGATTCTCAAGTTCTGTAGATATTGTATTCCATCTTGGAGTCAAGGCTACCTTACAGGGCTTGAAAGGCTAAGTTGTTACCCTAACAGTGAAAGGATCGAAATTCCATTAAGAGATATATCATTATCACCTCCATGGTTCAATCTGAGTGACCTAAGGAGCCCTAGGAATCTCAGTGTCCCCTCTGAAATAGCAGCTGGATTGCAGAATGGTAACACTGTGACCTGTCAGATTCTTGTGGGACTGGTGTTATTCTCTGTCAAGCCCTGATCAGGTGATAAGTGAGTGGATCTGGCCATGTAGTGCCCTGAGAGGATCTCTTGACTTTGGGCCTTAAGGTGCTTGGGATAGCAGGAGGTTTTTGTCATATGTGGTGACACTAGGAGTTTGGGGGCTTTTCAAAGACCTTGGGATAAAGTCACCACTTCACTCCTAGGTGTTGAGCCCCTGAGGGGTGTACATTGTCCTGTAGCCCACGGGAGGGTATTTCTAAACTCCTACTGTTCCAATGGGGAATATGAAATTGGGGCTACTTGGCTTTTTTACCAAGGGGCAGCCAGAAGAGGCTGTGTCTCTTTGTGTTGATCCCTCTCTGGCTCCATGTGTAACCAATGGTCTGGGGAAGGGTGTCTGTTCTACTTTCTATTGCCTAGGGATGAACCCAACCTTATTTCCCTGCCTGTTGCAAGTCAAAACAACACATGCCCAGGATTAGTGAAACCCCACTGTGTGAAGAGTCAGTCTGAGGAGAGAGCAGAGCCCAGCCAGAGAGGAGCTGAGTCCCCAAAGACTCCAAGAGCCTCAGGAAGCAGGAAGCATCCATGACTGAGCCAGACCTCTCCAGCCTGGATGGAGGCCTAACCTGTGGATGGGTGGCAGAGGGGTGCTCACCTCACCCAGTGTTTGCTGTGTCCACACAAGAACCAAGAGACCCATGTGACTGGCTCTCCTCACAGGGGCTTCCATGGACCAATGCTGTGCAGTTACAGTCCAGGAGTCAGACATGGATAGACAAAACACTGGCCAGGAGAAACATTACTGGGGGACCTAGGAGCACCTGGGTGTCCTATCATGTTATTCTGAGAAGGTCCCAACTGAGGCAATGTGGAGAGCGGATGTGAGGGAAAAAATCCCTGGTAGCCATACTGGGTGCCAAGGTTAGAGGTTGGCTACTGCCAAAGCTTAGGCCTGTGGGGAATGCATGGTACAAGAAAAGGCCTCAGTCTTTGAAGCACCACTCTCCCAAGCAGCTCCCTGTCTGCTACCTTGTCCCTGAAGTGGGAGCAACTTTGAAGGCCACCTTGGATGGTGACTTGAATGGAGAATGCAGTAGAATGGAGACTTATCTTTTCAGTGCCCTTGCAATCAGAGCAGGTCGAAACTGTGCCCTCTGTGTGATAGCTGTGCCTTCTGGGTGCCCTCAGGGTACAGGTCCTGGCTGTGATTGGCCCTTCTTTGTTGGGTCTCCCCATTGCTGAGGGACTGCATTCCTGGGTGTGGAGGCCCCCAGTTTGTAAAAATGCTCTTTTTGAGCTTCAGTTGTACACCAAGGTTCTTGGAGATTCTGAGGCTGGACCATTGATCCTCCTAGGAGACCCTGACCCATTGTTCCCCTCCCTATGGTCATGGCCACCAGGCTGTGTGATGATCCTATGGATTGACTGGTCCAGAGCAGCCAAGTGACAGACACTCTTGGGATGGGGATAGGGTAGCCACATAGTATGGCATTTTCAAGGTCTATGTTCATTGAGACACCAATCTGGGGTCAGTTCTCTTGATGGTAAATGGTTTCCATGTTATGCACCCCACATCTGAGTGCATTAGTTGAGGTATACTTGGGGGTTGCAGCACTAATGATCTCGAGTGGGAGTGGTGAGGAGGAGGGAGGTGGCAGGGCAGCTGGACCGGGCACTGACCATATGTCCCCTGTTTCACAGCTTCCTCATTGTTCTGGTCTGCCTCATCTTCAGTGTCCTGTCCACTATTGAGCAGTATGCCGCTCTGGCCACCGGGACCCTCTTCTGGATGGTATGTAGGCACCCAGGGCCATCAGTGAATGTCATCATTGCAAGTGTAAGAGGTGAAGGAGGGCTGGGTAAAGTAGTCATCCCTGGTCTCCACCACCCTGGTACTGGGGTATCAGGGCAATTCCCCTGCATCCATGACTGCCAGGACTCTGGGCTCTGTGTTGAAGGGCAGGAAGAACATAAGGGGCCTGGTGATGGTGGTTGGAAAGGCCTTTGTATGGGGAATTTACAAACTGGGCCCAGAGGGAAGACGGTTGGGCATGGGCACATTGACACTGAAGGGTGGTTGGTGGGGGACAGTGCCTAGGGCTGGGGGATACTTGTGTGTGTTATTGCTGACTTATGAGCCCTTCAGGTGTCCCAGATTCTACCCTAGTCATCAGGGTGCACCCTACATCAGCCCAGGAGACTTTCATGAATCATTCTGACAGGACCACCATGGCAGTCCTTGTGGGGATCCAAACTACCTTGGTACACAGTTCAGATATCTGCAGACTAGGTATGCACATCTGTCCCATGTGTCCTGTCCCAGCATAGAGTAACATGTGGAAAGTTTGAGGAATGGAATTCCCAAATTCTACAAGAGGCTTGGGGACTGTCCTGTGTGTCCCACATACTGTTACAGGCTTAGAAGACTGCCTTTTATGATCCCGCACTTTATGAAGAACTTTAGGACTGTCCTGTGTGACTCTATACTCTGAGAGGAGCCAACTGTGCCTTCTGGGCACTCTGTGGTGTGTGAACCCATATGCTTTGAGGGACTGAAGGGCTGTTTATCTAACAGCCCTGAGCCCTGAAACAGAGCCAGGGTTGGATATTGCAACTGAGGCAGACCATGTTCTGGCAGGGCTATCCAGAGCCTGGAGCCAATTGGCATAAGAGTAGAGTACCTCATGCTTCACCATTCACTGTTGGGCGAGACATGGGGCCATGTGGACTTTAGAAGCAGTGCTGAAGTAGCTGTGATCCTGATGGGAAGGTGGGTACAGGCCAGCATGGCTGGGACTATGGGGACAAGATGATGATTGGTGGTAAAACCAATGTCTTTCTGCAGCCTAATGTCTTTCTGCTTGGGTTCATTTGTGTTTTCCTCTTGTGATGGGATGTTCCTGACCCTCACAGGGAGCAAGGACCACAATTAGTTGCTCTTCATCTTCTGCAAAGTGGGCCTTAGGTGTTTCTCAGTTATATCTATACAGCCTCTGTCAGCTGGGAAGCTTGTCTTTCTAGATCTTGAATCACAGTGATGGCCATTCAGTGTCACACATTTTTCATGCGTCAACTTCATCTTTTCTTTATTGCTTCTAGATTTGGAGCTGCAGGAAATATCCCTTTCCTGGGTCATAGAGGTCTCTGTTTCTGGCCTGAATGTGATGTCTTCTTCCCCAGGTTTGAACAGTCTTGTGTGATAGTGTCAATGGCTATGATAGGAGTCTCCATGAGAGCATGAGACAGACACTGCTCCATTCCACCCCAGCTTTCCAGTGCAGAGTGCCACTCACCCCACAGCCCCTTTCTTCCCCTCGCCATAGAATGTGTATCTTCACTGTAGACCAAATCAGACATGCAGCTTACCTGGAAGTACCCAGTTCTCCATAGGCCACTGGAAGGTTCATCTGGCCAGGCTCGTACACCCTACAGTGAGCTCTGTAGCATATTTCAGGGGCCACTGGCAACTTCCTTGTCCCTCCTCCCAGCCTGACAGTCAACCCATCCAACCCAGGACACACCTTGTGTTAACAGTGCTGGGGATACCCACATGGCTGTGGTGCCAGGCAGTGATGTGCCTGCTTCTGTGGGGGTCACTGTAGTTTTGCATGTGGTTCAGGCATCTGGTAACATGGACAGACAGCCACAAGCTGTGATCAGAAGTTGTCACTAGAGGGTGGCTTCTCTTTTGCTATTTCCTGGCACTTTTCACTGTGGGCCTCAGCCTATGATGTTCTGCACTTCACAATGGTGCCTGTGCTTATGGTCACTGGGTTTTAAGTGTGGGTTGGTTCCTTGGGCTTTTCCAAAAGCAACATCCAGCCAGTACACCTATTCCCTAGTTGGTTCCATATGGCTGACAGAATGCTACAAAAATCTTAGATGTCATCTCTCTTGATGTGTTGGCTGGCCAGCCTCAGTTTCCTATGTGATACCTCTCAGTCCCAGAATATAATCTTTCATGACCTGTCTGATGGAGGTTTTTATTTTGTTAGGGACTTTTGCATGACCCTTGCATTCTCTCTCAGGGTGAGAGGACCGTGGGTTCCTTAATCTTGTGTGTGATGATTTCCCCATAGGTTCTTCTCAGGATTGTTCCCTTGCCCACTACAGAACTGGACATCACATAGGCAAGGCCTAGTCTCTCTGGCTGTGTTGTGAGAGGATATAGCCCCTGGTTGCTGCTGAAGGGAATGGCCCAGGTTCCTCCCCAAGTAGCTAGGGTTCTGAAGTCCCTGACCTGGAACTTGGTCTGGAAACCCTGGGCCAACAGTAGCTGTTGGTTCCTATGTTTAGCAGGGCCTGACTGTCAGAACACTCTCCTGGGAGGTCTCCAAGCACACATCTGTATATGCATTCATAAGAATATGTTCACACAAGTGTATATCCATGTATTCAAATAAAGACATTCCTATATACATCTGTGTCTTTAAGCATGTGTGTGTTTGGTTTGAGCGTGTGTGTGTGAGTGTGAGTGGACATTTACATATATTTGGTTTCATGTTTACCAGTGTATTTGTTTATTTATACACTATTGTGTATCTGTATATGTAGCTATGTTCATGTTAGTGTATACAGTGTTTCCATATGTAACTGTATGTTCATGTGTCAATATGTGTTCTCATGTGTGTGGATCCATGAATAACCCCCCCCTGCCCCCCACCAATCCACAGTAACTTCTGACTTAGGCCCCCTCTCCTGGTGGCCTCGGCTGCCTCCCTAAGGCTGGGCTCTTTCTGGGGCCTGTATACCATCTGGTGGCTACTCTTGGAATTGCACACTTAGATCCTACTGCCCCAAAGCCAAGGCGAGTGTGGGTGGGACTTTGTGATGTTCACTCCCCCATCCCTTCCCTCTGTGTGAGCAGGTCCCCACTCCCAAGGCAGCCCCTCCCCAGTCTGTTCTGCTTCCCAGAAGTGGCTCTTTGTCCACCGCAGTGAGGGCAGTGACCTCATTACCTCCTTTGTCCCTTTCCCATTCCCTGGACCCTTCCTGCCCCACAACAGCTAGGGAGAGATTTTATAGAACAAAACCCCGAGCTTCTCAGATGCTCCCTGGGTGGTTTGGGATAATTTTCTAACTTCTCTCTCATGGTTCTCAAAGTGCTACACATTTAAGTACCCTCCCATCTCCAATCCTCCTCTCCCTCATCATCGTTAACTCTCAACTGCCTCAGGGCCTTTGCACAGGCACTGTGCCCAGCAGAGTTACTTCTCTGCTATTAGGGCTGACCTCTGGTCAGTTCTGCACTCATTTCTGCAACACTGCTTTTTTTCTGAGCAACCTGGATGTGATGGAGTTCTGTGAATAGGCTCACATCTCTCTCACACCTTTTCACTGTGCCAAGGGAGGCTCAATACTCCAGTTGCTCAAAATTGTATACCTAAAGTAGGATACACAGGCATCTTCTTTTTAAGGCTTGTTCCCAGGCATACCCCATAGGGACACCCCTGAGCCTCAGTTTCCCAAAGTGTAGAGATGAGAATCAGCCTCAGTCTTGGCCTTCCCACTTGGCTTTTCTACATTCATTCTTCTCTCTCTCTCTCTCTCTCTCTCTCTCTCTCTCTCTCTCTCTCTGTGTGTGTGTGTGTGTGTGTGTGTGTACAGTGCCCACAGAAACCAGAAGAGAGTATGGCAGATCCCCTGGACTTGGGGTTACAGACACTTGTGAGCTGCCCAACATGGATGTCCAACCAAACTTGGAACCTCTGCCAGAGCAGCAGGGGTTCTTAACTGCTGAGCCATCACTCTGTCCCCCACTTTGCCACAAAGTTGTGTCCTCACTTGCTGGCCTTTGGAGGCCATGCCTTCCAGAGTTCAAACTGACTGTGTCTAGAGGCTTACTTCAGAGTCATGACCACAGATGGTGTTGGAGACAGTAGGGAAGAGGCAGCTGTGTCCAGCCTACACATTTGGACAAGAAGAGAAGTGTGTGGCTCAAAGAGCCACGTATATGGGGTGGTGATATCTTCCTGGAGGATAGGATGCTTGGTGAGAGAGCTAAGTAATGAGAAGTTGCGTGCTGTGGAAGACATCCAGCCACTCACGGCCCCCAGAGGGTTTATGTGTCCTAGCCCAGGCAGATATTAGGGTTATGGATTCCAGGCCTCTCAGGTGAGAATGACTGTTGGTGCCCCAGGCTGAGGGACACAGTGCAGAATGCAGGTGCTACGTGCAGTGCAAAGGTGTTTGTTTCAGCCTTGGGCTAAGGACAAGGCAGCCTCTGCCGGGCTATGGAGACACCAGGTGGCGCTCTTGTCATATGCATTTCGGCAGCCCTTGGGCCGGGCCCAGAGTGCTGAGCGCGGGAGCCCAAACCACAGCCTGGGGTGCCCCACGGGGGCCCAGGGCGAGGGAGCATTGTGAGGAATTCTGGGAGCACATTGGGTAAATGGCGGAGAAGAAGTCACGCGAGGCTGCTTTCCCAACCCCAGCGCCGATACTCCTGCCTCAGCGCCTGGCTTTCCTGGTGCCAGAGCCCTGTTATCTCAGCCAGGGCCAAGGAAGCCAGGCGGCCTCCGAGGGATTAAGCATTCTGCTGAGCCAGGCATATTCCCTGGGCCTGAAAAGCTGTTCTTGGAGAAATCTGGGCCCTGCCAGGCCAGGGTCTGGCTGGAACTTTGATCATGCGTGTTGTAGGTGTTCTTGGCCTTGAAACCTGTTTGTGGCCCCAAGGAGTGCATCCCCTCACCCCAATCCTGCTTCTGAATCCAGAGCAGGCTTCACGTACATCTGTGGACGTGGCGCACATGTGTGTGCACGCCGTGTACGTGCACGTCTGCTGGGTGTGCA